GGGGGGGGGGGGGGGGGGTGAACAAGTCATTATCCATAGAAGCTGAGGGAACAAAGGCAGCCAATTCTTCTAAGAGTTTGGTGGTATCACAGTCTCGGGGGCCAAAGGATTCCGTGAAGAAAGAGGTGGCGTCATCAATGGTGCCATCGAAACCTGGGCTCTCGTCTCCAAAGACTTGATGGGCAGCGCGTTTTTTGGAGATCCGGTAGAGGTGTTGTAGTCGTTTGGCGGCAGTTGGATCTCCGGGAAGAGGGCGGCGACAATCAATGGGAGGGCGAGCACTGGGCCGGTCTGGTCGGCGTTTGGTAGGACGAGGTCGTTGCTGGGAAGAAAGATTTTTGGCAAGTTCAACTACTTCGGTGGTGAATTGGCGGGTTAACTGTTCAAAGTCAAGGAAGTCCATCTCTTCGTTGAATTCGAGGTTGTAACATTGTCTGAAGTCATGAAGAGATGTAGTGGTTTGGGCTGTGGGGAAGGAGGCTGTGGTAGGGTCTTCGAAGATGGGATCTTCCGGGTCTGGGTTAGATGATGTAGGGCGTGGTGGGGAGGTAGATGATGTCCCAGGATCACTTAGATCTTCCAAAGTAGGTGGTGGGAGGTCGAAGAAATCAGCGGCTCTGGGGCGGGTAGGAGCAGGTGGTGGTGGTTGGCGGGTGGGAAGAACAGCATTGGATTGGTTAGTAGTGGCAGTGGATATCAGGGGAGGGATCACAGGAGGTGTATTATTTGGTGGAGAAGATTGTCGAGTCTGAGGGACGTCCGAGGATGGCGTAGTTATGATGTTTGCCATGAGTGGAGGAATAGCAGGGGATGGAGTTGCTGGATTGGAGGGAGATGCTGGTGCTGCAGGAGCAGGTGTATTTCCACAGGCCTCGAGGAAACGATGCATGAGCGCCGCATTGGTTTCAGGGGGAGGGGAAAAACTCGGTGGAGAGGGAGCCTTGGGAGACATGGGATTCTGCGTGTCTGGTAGGGATTGGCTCTCGGATGATGCAGGAGACTTGGGTGGAGGGGTGGACAGCGGTAGCAAGGATGGGGGAGAGGAGGAGGTTGAGGAGGTTTCCACTGTGGAAGGACTTGATGGAGCTGGGTCAAGGGAAACATGGCTGCTAGGTTTGGCGGTGGTTGGAGTGAGGGCTAGACGGTTGTAGCGGTGCATCTCCAGATGTTGCTGGACTTCCTCAGATGTCATAACTTCAGCACACACTTCATGTAGACTTGCCGTTCTTTGCCTTGAAAGCACATACTGGGCACTTGATGGTTTGACGACATAGGTGTAGGAAAAATGGTACAGATACATTGACAGTGTCTTTCAGTTCATAGTTGTATCACAGAATATGAGTGTGCCGAGTCTTTAGGTGAACGAAGGTTTTGTCACAAGTTCCGCAGCTGAGTCGCTCCTTACAAGGTCGATCGCCGGGAAGAGTTGGCGAATGAGCTAACGGAGAGCTCATTATGAAAGAGGAGAAGAGAAGCTTAAAAGGGACTTGAAAAGATAAGCTTAATTTAGTTCATTAAAAGTAGAGTATAAACAAATTGTTCAATAAAAATCTTCTGGTGAAACCTGGTGATGATAGTTGTGTTTTGAGAATATTACTACGAAAAAATATCAACAAGCTAGGGGCAGCTCCTGACCACAACAAGTCAGTACTACAAATTTAGTCAAACTCTGCAAGTACAGAGGAGACCTAGCTTGGCAAGTATTTCGCACAGTAAACGCGATGACCGTTGTCGAGGCACGGATGTACTAGTCCGGGTCGTGAATACTGCGAATTTATCTTTGTGGGTCGAGGTAACACGTATAGTTTACTGCCACGCGGATAAATTTGAGTGAGAAAAGCAAAATACCGGAAACCGGACAAACTCAAACTCGGTATACGCCGAGGAGGTGCTGAGAAAAATAAATACGATTTAGGATAGCCAGATCGAAAGAAGCAGCGATAATTTGGCCACAATCTAGGAATAAACTAGCCCCAGCACGGGTAAGTTTATTAGCTTAATCTCAAACCTTTCAGAGTAGAAAGGGAGACCTAGATCGCGAGTGAATATACGTCTTGTCAAGTTTGTATAGCCTCGCGGGAACAAACCTCGCGGTTCGAGGGAAAAACACGGCGCTACACAAGACAGGAAAGCAGTATAACACTATCAATAATACTCAAACACAGGCCCGAACCTGAGGAGTTTAAAGTTG